CTGCACCACGTACCACGGCACCAGGTCATATCCCAGTGCAGTGTTCGCAAGTCTAGACTAGGACTCTAGGGTTGCACAGCGCCTGGCGTGCCATCGACTTCCTCGAATCGACTTCCTCGATAGGATTTCATTGAGCATGAAGCAATGTAGATCTACATGACACACATCGTAGCTATGCGGCAAAGCTCAGTTCAAGTAGTACAGCAACTAACTGCGAAGCGTGCCTTGAATGAAGGACATGTCTTTCTTCAAAGAAGATAATAGCGAGTTATTAGTTGAACATGTTATATTGCAGTCTGTCCAACATTGACACCATTCCAAAGCAGGGTACCCACAGTATTATACATATACTATAAAGAAGAGGCACCTGTGACGTGTGTTTGTCTGTGTGGTTGTCTGTGTGTTACGCAGAAGCGCTGCGGAGCAGCGCTGCCCTGAGCACGCGAAGCGTGCGAACAGTGTAGCTAGCGGCCGCAGAAGCACTGAGCACGCGAAGCGTGCGAATCGTGTAGCTAGCGGAAGCAGCCACAGAAGCACTGAGCACGCGAAGCGTGCGAATCGTGTAGCCACCACCACGTGCTGAGCACGTGTGCTGTTCATGTACTTGCTTCACCCGCATGCCATGTTCGGCCAGGCAACGCTGGCCGGGTGCTGCTATATATACTATAAAGAAGAGGCACCTGTGACGTGTGTTTGTCTGTGTGTTACGCAGAAGCGCTGCGGAGCAGCGCTGCCCTGAGCACGCGAAGCGTGCGAACAGTGTAGCTAGCGGCCGCAGAAGCACTGAGCACGCGAAGCGTGCGAATCGTGTAGCTAGCGGAAGCAGCCACAGAAGCACTGAGCACGCGAAGCGTGCGAATCGTGTAGCCACCACCACGTGCTGAGCACGTGTGCTGTTCATGTACTTGCTTCACCCGCATGCCACGTTCGGCCAGGCAACGCTGGCCGGGTGCTGCTAGTTATTGTATACAAAGGCAATTGTCTCCCATATGAAAATGTACAACTGTTTTGGTCCAAAGCAGGACTGTCCTGCTCAAAGCTGGACGGTTGGGCAGTCTGAAATGCCTATGCAGCATTCGCTCCATGACTAACAGCCATGCCCCTCATAGCCAGCCTCTTCAGACCGCACAAATACCAGTAATAATAAACACATGCAGTCGGTGGACAATTTACGAGTGGACCTACACTAGTCACAATGCATGACTGTACAACCTGCCAGTCAGAGAGACTCAGAGAGGGTGACAGTGCTAGAGAAGATAACGCAGCAGGTACAGCTGTACATGCCCTCAACCACAACACCCCGCAGTCCAGGACTAGGTATACTGGAGAGGCGTAGTAGTGGGCAGAATACACAACAAGAGCCTAGAAACAGCACTGCTTACATCTTTTCCACTCCATTGCTATGGAAGGAGACTGACGATCCGAAGTTGCCATTCGGAGCGCCAGAACTGAATTTGGTTGCTGTCGTAGCATCCAGACTGAAAGCATGGGTGGTCGGCAGCAATGCCACGAACAGCAACACAAGACTGCTCATCTCCATGATGTTGTTGTCTGCAGGCACAGCAATACAACCCACCAACAAACAAACGGGCACTGAAAGGTCTGAATCCTCGGTCAGTCTCTAGTCTACGTATGAACTGGAGAGCATGCGCACCTCAGTTCTGGCGTACTGCAGCAGCGGCAGCAATAGTAACAGCACCAGCTGCTAGTGAGACTTTAGCCCTCTTCCACCTCGGCAAGGACGAGAAAGAATGAACTACTTATCTACCTGTGGAGGAACTCTGAGGCTCTGCGGGCTATGTTCAGTTTTACCTCTCTTTGACTGGCTTCGGTTCAGACTGTCATCAGTGATGATTGATGCACACACACTCAAGCAATCGCCTGGCATGGCATGGTAGCGCCGCTAGCCTGCTAGCAGTGCAACCTGTGTAGTGACATGATGTGCAGGCTAGGCGGCGGGAAATGAGCGCCGTGTAGATCTACATGTGTGCCGAAATCATAGTCATGCGATTTGCACTCAGCTCGGCCGACGGCCGGACTCGCCGTGATGAACAGTTTTTGCAGGAAAAAACGTAGATCTACCGTGCAGACCGCTAAATCCACATGCATGCGCTTGTGGCTGGGCGAGCTTGACCGAGTTGACGTCGCCAAATCAGGACAAAATGCCTGGGTCCGGTCCTAAGTAAAAGCATTGTCATGCATGGCGTAGACGAACAAGACTATTGACGTTCGTCCTGTCGTAGCTTGAATGCATAGCAAGCCAAGCGTGATAGTGCTCAGCCGATCTAGCTTCCAGGTCAAATACGGAGTCACTATAGTTGTGGTAGATCTACTACTTACTACTACTACTACCAGTAGTAGTAGACCTGGTAGACGAGTCGCTAGGTCCAGCAGATCCGCTAATACGGATCAGATAGCTCGCTACACCAGCCCGATACCGCTTTCAACGTAACTAATTACTTACTTCGCGGTTTTGCCCTGATCGTTTGAGGATGAGATCTACAATGTATTGTCTATGTATTGTCTATGTACTTGAGTATTGTATTAAGCTGCGCATGTTATGTAGTGTGCTGGAGAATGAGTTCCACGTTACTTGCCATGTTGACCTTGCTGTTGGCAGTGCGACTACTGACTACACATACACATCCAGAACTGTAGACCATGCAAACTCGTATAATATGTAGTAGCACCGGACTCGACTGGAACCCTGCCTGCTGCATCAAGACATGAGCCAGGTCCTGGCCAGCGAGAGACATGTGAACAGCGTCGCAACGGATGAGTACGTAATGATATCGGTCCTCCTTGGCCTTGGCTTGATCCTCACGCAACGCGTTTCTTCTATGCCACGGGTCGACGTCAACTGGAGCGCTCATAACCTCAACTTGCTCAAGTAGTGGCTAGACTTTCACACAGCGACACAAGTGCACTCACATACTAGTACACACACACATACACGTAGATCTACCGACATCTGGATCTGGATTAGCCAGTAAAACTACCAATCAGGATTGTAATCCTCTAGCGATAGCAGGTCCAGATCCCCGCGCCGATCGATGCCGTGCCTGCTGCCAAGTGCCAGTGCCTTGGCGCCATCTTGAAACGATTCGTAGTGCGGAGATGGCCAGATCTTACTTGCACTTGCAGTGTCCGTTGTCTACCATGGTCTACCCCCGGCCCCGCGTCAACATGACTTGCAGCTTGTAGTTTCAGTCATCACAGGTCATCGGGTCATGAACCCATACAATCATGTCAAGTAGTCGCTCTACTGGAGCTTGACTTCCAGAATACAGGACACGACGTCTCTTCACCTGGTGCATGGTATCAAGCTTCTTCTTGTAGCTCTGTCGTTCCAGGGCGCACCATGAAAGAATCTTTTGATTGTGTTGTTGCATCTCCTGGCCTGGTCTCGGACTCTCCGTCTTCAGTGGTCTTGATGTCCGGTAGCAGTGTGCTTGCAGACCGTGACTGCCTACCACTACGTCTTGCAGACTGCCTAACACTACATAATCATTCAGGCTACTACAATCAGTGTTGCTAACTTGCCATCATGCACCATCATCTATGCCATTGCCAGCCGAATGGGATATACCAGTGCGCACGTATACTGTATAGACCAGGCTTTTTGATCTCAGGCCAGGGTACTGGGTAGAGATTCACTACAATGATCTGGTAATGGGAACTGACAATGTTACGGAGTCAGCCTGTGTGTCCCTGCCACCCCGGGGGATGGCAGAATACGTCCTCGGGAAAGAAAAGTGCTCCGTGACTTCGATGGAACTGTCAGTTATGGTGAATTGAGTTTGAGGAATCCAGTGGTGGTGACCAATTTCGGGGCCTATTTCTTTTGTATACTGCTGTACACTTCAATGCACCTAGGGTTGCCAGTAAAAAGGCAGTAGCCTGTTGGGACTCACCTAGTAAAATAATATAAATGTACCTTCAATCTGCGGACAGAAACTGTTCCGTCCTTTGTGGACTCCTCAGCGCAGCACAGAGGAAATGAGGCCGAACCTGGTACCTTTAAAATATGTTATAATGTATATCCACTCGTTGTCTTCGGATGTGCTTTTGTTCCACTGCATAGCATTTCTTGAGCGCTCCAAGCAGAATATGGATATAAAGCACGACGGTTTTTTTCGTTCCGGAGGAAGTGCGAGTACAAGTCAGGTGCTGCTGCTGCCGCATGAGTGATGCACGTTTCTGCATGATTGAACTGGAATTACCCGACTAGCCTCCAGCTTACCACTCTGAAGGCTAGCTGCGAGGCGCTAGGCACAGTCATGACCCGTCACCGGCTGCATGTTCTGTCACGGGCAGACAAAGCATTGCATCGCCTGTTTGCCTCTTTCAAGGAAGGTCACGGTTGAATTATTTGGCTCAGTAGTAGACACAGCTGTACCCGTTCCAACAGCACTGAAGACCTGGCTAGCCCAGTCGCCTCCTCTGGTTATCCATCTTTGGGCTATGGTTTAGGTTCGGTTTAGGCTTGGACGTGTCGTTGCTACTGCAAGTACATGTACAAGTAGTGTGAAGGCAAAGCACCTCTTTTCTGACTTGCTTCCCTCTCGTTCCGACTCATGGCCGCACGTTCTTTGTGCGTCCACCACGTGAGCGTGGCGAAAAGGAAGAGATGGGCTTCCGGACTGTACTGTGCACAGCACCGAGAAAATACTCACAGCCAGCTCAAGTCCTAAAATAATTTTAAATATTAGTCTCAAGAGTCAGGACCACCGTCACGTGCCGTGGTTATCTCGTCCGGGGTTTGTTATATCTACATGTACATCACGATCTCCATGACAGGTTTCAAACGACCAAAATATCCGGCTGCTGCTAACTTGTTACACGGGTCTGAGCTGTGCATGAAGTGCATCATACTAGTAGCATACAACACCGGTAACACCACGTTCAAATCATGTCAGAACAGACAAGTACACTGACTGTGACTGGATCCACTGTATTGTGGCGCCGGCGGCATGCATGGCGATTTGGGGTCCAGAACGCTATCGCAATACGGCCAGTACTAGTATCTACTAGTATGTACATGACATGTAGCATTGTAGGTAGCATTGTAGGTAGCATTGTAGGTAACATGTAACATTGTAGCATTGTAGCATTGTAGCATTGTAGGTAGCATTGTAGGTAACATTGTAGGTAACATGTAGCATTGTAGGTAACATGTAGCATTGTAGGTAGCGGAGCAGTTGAATAGATTCTTGGTTGAAGGGAAGCAAATCAACACACGAAGCACATAAGCCATAGTTTCGCGACTAGGCCTTTCGTACCATTACTCAGTTTCAAGTCGAATACAATGGCAGCAAGGTAGCAAGCAAGCCCTTATAACCGGCACTTTGGCGGTCAAAGCATTGACAGAATAGCACTTTAAAAGGTAGCGCTAGTGGCCATGTTTGCAGACTGCACTTAAGGCCGTGACGTTGTCAGGTGACGGAGTATCGCCGAGTCCTTCTCATTATCGTCAGTGTCCGGTGCACCGGTGGTCCATTCGTGCGGTTGCTATTATACAGGGCAGTTGTGCCGCCAAGTGCCGGTTATAAGGACTTGCTTGCTACCTTGTAATCACCATTGTATTCGACTTGAAAATTAATGGTACGAAAGGCCTAGTCGAAACTACATGTATAACTATGGCTCAGTCTGTGCTTCATGTGACGTTCATCCGCTTCTGTGCTTCATGTGACGTTCATCCGCTTCTGTGCTTCATGTGACGTTCATCCGCTTCTGTGCTTCATGTGACGTTCATCCGCTTCTGTGCTTCATGTGACGTTCATCCGCTTCTGTGCTTCATGTGACGTTCATCCGCTTCTGTGCTTCATGTGACGTTCATCCGCTTCTGTGCTTCATGTGACGTTCATCCGCTTCTGTGCTTCATGTGACGTTCATCCGCTTCTGTGCTTCATGTGACGTTCATCCGCTTCTGTGCTTCATGTGACGTTCATCCGCTTCTGTGCTTCGTGTGCTGACATGTACAGTGCTACTAACATACATGAGAGGAGTGTTCACTTTACACTTTGCTTTGCAGCCCGAATATGATAATTACATGTATATGGAGCACCCAAGATTCTAAAGCAGCCCACAGTCAGTAGATAGCAATAGCTACTACTTCCCTGAAGCATATTGCCATGCACATTGTACGTGTACATGTCATTGTAACCAAATTGCATGGTAATCTGTTGAAGCTACCGGTAATACTTAGGAAGTAGTTTCGCTCATAGCACCATCACCATCACCACCATCATCATCTGTTTGTCACACAGACATGCTGTTCACATACGAATTTCTGCTAACAAATGCCGCGATCCACGAAGTCATGCAAAAGATAGTTCGTTCAGGACGCCAACAGCTGTTACATGTAGCAAATAGGGTGCATGATTCCCTGCATGATTCCCTGCTGCTGCTGCTGCTGCACGTACTGACCAATGCCAATGCTATTAGGTATTTTTAAAAGCCTTATTGGGTTGAACACATGTTGATTGGTCGGCAGCATGTTAGGGCTCTGCCAACCAACGATGACTCAGTGGTTAAAGAGCACTGTTTTCAACACAGTGCGTTCTCCGCCTTGTAACATGCTGTCCACCAATCAACATGACTAACTACTAACTACTGTCTGGTGGCATGCATCTAGACTAGTACATGACATTGTATTTTCATTGTGCCTGCTTTTCCAAGATCCTGCATATCCGTTTTCAATCATTTGTCAGTTTGACCTCAGGTATCGAGCAGTAGCTCGGCTAGAAAATGCTGATGTTCACTTCCCATGTACCTGTAAAAAAGTAAGTAAATTATCGTGTCCGTTCCCGA